GTCCCACCCATACATTTTTGTTGACCAGACGTATAACATTGTCCATTACATACTTGTTGATTCCAACCGCAGATAGCAGCGGCAGATGTACCACTTAGGCCGATGAGAAAGATTATAAGAACTAGATATGCCGACATTTTATTATCTAAAACTATAAATATCGATACTTCAGTATATTTTACCTTGAAAGACATTTATTTATAATTTGACAGGGACATATCGTATAGGCAGTAATGATGATTTCGTCAAAAGATACAAAAAATCGGGTTTCTTTGAAGAATTTATTCTTATTAATGTCACCGATGTCGAAACTACAATTAGTATTCTTTCATATATAAGAAAATAGAAGTTGACGATATTTTCATACTTCAAGGGAACACTCAGCCTTCATGCTAACTCCAATTGTGATACCATCTGTTCTTACGAATGCGTTAGTGATATATACTCCAAAACCGCTGCTCAAAAATAGATATCATCTTACAACAAATAAAACGTATTACTCGGATTGATTAAAAAAAGCAGTTTTTTTCAGAAAATATTGAAATAGAAAAGTGAATGTTCAAAGAATTAATTTCTCTTACATTTTAAGAATAATTGCACTAGTAAAATAGAAATTTAAAAATGAGTAGTATGAAAAGACGTTGCTATTTAGTGTAGCTGTCACCAACTCAAAACATAACATAAACTAAATTGTCGTTAAAATCCAATGCAAGTCTATAAGTTCGAACAGTGCCGTAATGTTATTCGAATCTCGTCCTTTTATAGTGTTTTTGTCGTACCTTCATGCTAATTTTGTTTGGCCTTTATTAATAAGCATTTTTTTCTCATAATTCCATGCAAACATTAATAACGCATGATATTTTTTCTTCGTAAAAAGAAATGAAAGTGCGCAAATCATGACGTTGTTCCGTTATTTATTTAATGCAATAAAAACTTCGCAATACTTCTATTTCGTAATAAAATATGATTCATATTCGATATGTTCGCAGTTTTTATTTTGTTTACAACCTATTGCAAACATAAATACAATTCTATTCTGCAGTACATATTTAGAGGATGGATGTGGGTGTGAGGGTGAAGGAAAATCAGAGTTACACCCATTCTCTGTGGATGCATCGACTGGTATTTGGTGTGGATTTGGGTGAAAAGCTCATCTACACCCTCTTTCGTTTTGTTTCGTTTCGTGTTATAGAGATCTTGATCAGCTATTGTAACTAAATTTGTATCGAAAGAACAAGACAGAAAAAAGTATTTTGAAAAAAAATGAATTGATAAAATATAGGTTTTGAAACAGAAAATTTATTAGTATTATTTATTAAAAATATTAGTTTAAGAAATTTATTGCTACCCTTAGAAACTTTAACTTGTGCCACCTGTGATCTACACCCACCCCTCTTCTTTGTTCTTTACTTCGACTATTTTAGTCAAAATATCGTAACCAAGTATCTCGGTACAAAAATAAATCTGCAAAATCAAACAATACTAGTTTTATTTTAAATTGATTTAGGTTAAAAGAACATTAAAAAAACTGTATATGATATTTGTGATTTCTTCTAACATAAAAATATATGATAAAATAAAGTATATTTTTATTCACATGCACATTTCACATTGTTTTGTCCTATTAAACTTTTTCTTGAAGTAACTTGAAAATTTTAGAGAACGCAACAGAAACAGCTAGAAGTAAAATCTTCATAACTACTAACGAACGGTCTATAATAAAAACACCAAAAAGTCGAATTTGATATTCTTTAAAACTATATCGAATATATTCTGTTGAACTTTTCAAATAACGTCGACCATTTTCGATCTCAATTATTTTTCGACCAATGATTTCGTTATCATCATTTTCAAATTCATCATTAATTTTTTGTAAATTTCGTGCTTATATTGTTATTGTTGGTTATGTCATTTCACGTCCTTTATTATGTTTAATTTCAACTGATCGATGAACGATAACATCCTCAAATGAATTTATTCATCGAAAATGTTTACTCCAATTGGATTTTTTATAAAAAATAATAATTGTATACCATCGTTAAATTCCTTCTATTTATTTATATATCGAATTATTGATGTAATATGTACTTTATTTCCTTTTATTAAATAATAATCGATGTTCTATAGGAATAGTTCATAGAATACCGATTGATTTACAAATAAATATCTTTATTTAATTCGATTATCTTTTACTCAAATTATTAGTTTTATTGATTCATTTATTAATACAAGTGTATCAAATCTTGCTTATACTTATTGTTCAGTAAGTTATTATGTTAAATAGAAATAAAAAAAAAGTGATAATTTGTATTTTAGATAACATTTTATTTATATACAATGATATTCAAAGTATTCTAATGATGTTTAACAGGTGATAAAAAGAATGTTTTTTTTAAAAGAAGAATGATTCCGTCTTGATTTGATCTGATTTTAAACCAGTTTGATTTAACCATGAAGTAATATCAACCATAAATTGAGTAGGTCCACAAAGATAAACTTGTCTATTCATCAAATCTGAAACATTTAGAAAATCATCGCATTGAATTCGTCTATTGAACACTTGAAAAGATTTAGATGTATTAGCACCAGTAGAATCGAACATGGTTATACTTGAAACAAGTGGAGATGAAATAAAATCTTTGAGTAAATCTATTTCATCACCACGGCCAGAAAATAAAACAACAATATCAGTCTTTTGCTTCGTTTGAGATAGAGCTTCAAACATAGCTAAGAGTGGTGTAATACCAATACCAGCCGCAATAAATAAAAGTTTTTGAGAAGTCTGATTTGTATTATCAAAACATGTAAATTCTCCTCCTACACCAAGAAATTTGCAACTGAGTGGTGATTTTTGATCATTGGATTGAGAATGTAATAAAGAGGATATCATACCTTTGGGTAAATGTTTAATCGTACATGATATTTGATTTGTAGCATCGAATGTATTAGTATTTGAATTAAATGGAGGAGATGAAGAAATAGTCCATGTTCGAATATAATCATCATTGAGTGATTGAGGATTATTATTGTTCATATGTTGATATGTTTGTGGAATTAAATGTGCAAAATCCAAAATAACATATCCACCGGGTTTAAATGAAACTTTCTCTTCTAATTCAAATGTAAATCTTGAAATAAGTTTTGTTAATTTTTTGATTTCTATTAGTTTAGCATTTCTAGTAGATACTGTTGAAGGTTTACCCATTTTTTCAAGTTCTATAGCAAGATAACGAATTGGTGGATTATATGGAGAATATTGTTCAGGACCAATTAATTTCAAATTAAGACCTTCTTTAATCCATACATATCCAGTTAATTTAATTCTAGTTAATAAAGTTATACGAGGCATAATACATTCAGCTTCATCATCATAAATATTTTCAGCAATACCAGTTACATGAAGCATATCACCCGATGTAAAACAAGGAAATACAATACCAGCAACTCGATCAGTTTCAATATTTCCAAGAGATTGATAGAATCGATTTCCTGAATAATCTGGAATAACAATATATGTATGTCCATTTTCTTCATAAGTTCGAACAAAGCCAGGATATCCACCACGATGATTTATGCCAAGATCAGAAGTATTATCGGACATTGTACTCGTATGTCGAGTAGCTAGAAAGATGGTGCTAGCTTGATTAATAATATCTAAACATTCTTGATTGAAAGAAATTCTATCTGTCTTTCGATAATCAGCTGCTATTTGTGGATTTCTTTTGCAATATTCTAATTTCCTAATTGTAATATATTTTGGACAATTGCCTACATTTTCATTGGTTAATAAAGACATATTAAGTGTATCATTGACAATATTGGATGTTGCAATAAATCCAGCTACTTTATTTCTTCGACGATTACTAAAATCTACACCAATACCAGCAAAAGAACGATAAGGTGAATTAACTGTATTTATTATACTGGATAAAAATGGATCATCTTTTGGTAGAACAGCAGAAATATTTAATTCCATTTCTGATATAGCACGAATAAGTGTTGTAGGTGAACCAACAATAATTGTTGCCCAGGGTCTACCATCAATATCAATAGTAGAAATAGCAAAATAACTTAAATGAGTAAAGAATTCTGAATGTTGATCTGGCATATCATCAGAAATCATGTTAGATACGATCATAGGCATATTTGATGGAGTATGCCTCTTCTTTTGAACGAAAATTTCACCTTCATGCTGATCATGTACTTTTATACGTTTTAACATTGATTTAGATTACAGTAGTATAATTAAGATCTAAAACAAAAAAAATATAATCGTAATAAAATAATGTCAGTTGATAGTGTTGTCTATAAATACTGATATATTTTCTGCTTGGTCATAGCGAACAGAATAAAAGAAATGAGAGAATATACAGAAAAGAAAAGAAAAAAAAATGCTTCGTCATAAGTACATTATGTCATTGCTCTTCTCGTTAGAGAATACGTACAAAGCCAGAAATGTCTTGCGATATAGGAGTTTATGCATAGAAAACGTTTTTTCTATTTAAAACACATATTTTAATCTTTTGCTATTGATTAAATTTATTTTTTATTTTTTATTTCTGTTCAATTCGTAATCATCTGCATATTCTGATTTTCTTTTTAAATGAAATATTTGAAACAGCTCTGTTACGGGTCTGACCATATATGTAGGTCAATCTTTTTTTTTCTTCGATATGATATCACTTGTTATAGTGATGCTTTTTCTTTCTCTCTCTATAGATATATATGCGTGTTTTCTGTACATGTGTTATGAGAGAGGTGATTGTTTGAAATAAACATATGACACCATTAACATGATTTCTATTTATCACTTAATTGTTGATAAGAAAATCCATTATTTTTCTCTTTTATAAGGTTTATTTTTTCTTCTAAGCGAAGTTCACAACGACTTGTCATATATGATAATCTAACATTAATATACAAACCTACAATAAGATTGAGATTGCTTCTTTTTTTTGTTTCTCTCTATGCCAATCACAACACTAGCCAATGAAGTACATATTGTTAATTCAAAGTTGAACAGCGTCCTCTATGTTCACATTTAGAATCGTGAGGGGAAACAAGAGGGTGTTTAGTACTTAAGGTTTTACTGTATATACATATAGTTGGAAAATGAACGAAAAACTGCACATTTCTTGAGAGTAAGGGCGTGATTCGGTGTAGAAGTCTTAACAATTGACAAGCATTAATTCTGTTTTTTCTTTCTTTTGTTTGATTAGAATTCTTCAAACTATAAAAACTCTCTTTCTTTCTGTTCTCTCTCGGGAACGGTTAAAGTACATGCCACGTGCTCGAATTACGTTTTCTTCTTTCTTTTGGTGCTCATTTTCTTCATATAATTTTTTTTTGCGCTTACAATATGTCAACTATTGGTGATATGATTTAAAGAATAAATTATTCGATGGAAAAAACGACAGTATTACGGTATATTCAACAATGAACGATTTTCACTATACGTTCAGTAGAAAATGAAATGAAACTAGATACATTATAAAATGTTGATAAATATGTTGGAGAAATAAATGCACAAAGAGAACCACATGGTGAAGGGTCTGTGTGTTCGGAAAATGGAAAGATGATGTCTAAATTTCTTCTTGATCTTGATTTTCATATATGGAACAAATATTTCATACTGCTCTTCTTGTTCTTTTTTTGTATACTTTTAGATGAAATAATGGAATCTTTACCTGACGAACTTCTCTTAATTATTTTTCAATACTTCAATAGATTTGATTTACTTGACTCTTTTGGTAATTTAAATCAACGTTTTCAACGTATTCTTGAACCTTATTTGTATGAAATCGATCTTACACGAGAAGATCTCTCCTATCAACATTTTGTAACATTTTATCAGTATATTGCTCCCATCCAAGGACATTATCTTCGCGCACTAAAGCTGAGTGGTGAACATCAATTTCGTCTATTCCAATCTCTCATTCATCTTTTCATAAATCTCGAATCATTGACACTTAAATCGATCGTATTCTTTGGCTCTCAAGAGTATGCGCAACTAGAAAATCTTCTTACTCAAGCTCTACAGATACAATATCTATCTACACTATCACTCTCTCGTCTTGATGCACCTGAAACGATTGCGTCTTTTGCATCATCAAATTTGACATCATTAATTTTACTAAATGAGCATAATTTCGATTATCCTCATATTCAACAACCAATATCTACGATCAAATATTTCTCTCTGAACCTTCGTCAGTTCCAATCTACAACATTTTCGTCTGTATTCAAAATATTACCAAATCTTGAAGAGTTCAAACTATCAATACTGAACTATTACCATAAGTCAACTAATCAACATCACCGACCTAATGTACAAGTACCAAAAACATTAAATAAACTCTATTTAGAGTTTAAACATGAAGAACCATTAAATGGTGAAGTTTTAAAGGAAGAATTTCTTGATGTATTCAAAGATCAAATTCGATCATTGACTCTAATTGTATATAATGCTACTATAGAATATTCCAATTTACATAATTTATTAAACGATTTTACTTCTCTCGTTACTTTTCAATACGATATTCGTTCATTGGATTCTAATTTTACATCTTCATCAGCTCTAGATTTGAATCTAAATCATATCAATTTTTGCAAAAACTACAGTTCATTCAATAACTGCACGATATTAAAAGCATTAAATCTAACATTTCACGATCAAAGTACACTATCACCTGATGAACATTATTTTTTAACAGAATTTCTCGGTTCGTTACCAAAATTAGATACATTAACTGTCTTTACTGATGACACAAAAGCTGTAATTCAACAGTTAAAATCACTGGTTTCGAAAAAATCTTCAAGAAAAATGACTCAATTCTACATTGAAGATCTTCGACAGAATGATCCAAAAGATCACTGCCCACGACATCCACCAATATATGACACAACATTGATCTACGAACTATCACAACTTTTTCCGAATCTCAATACTTTAACATTCCCATGTCATACAAAATTCATTAGCGAATATCCAACTACATTAACTATATTTCTTAAACAATTACAAAATCATCTTCCGAAATTGACACATTTCACATTAAAATTGATGTATCGGGATCGTGACACGTATGATAATTATATCAAAAACTTGGACGAATGTTCTTGGTTATATCATACCACAACACGTTGTTTGTATCCAGATTATAATGGTAGTTGGTATGAAGCACATGATCTTCATATTTGGTTGTAATTGGCTATTACATAAGTTTTGTCTTTGAACATATCTAAATTATTTTCTTGTAAATCTTTAAATAATAATATCAGATTTTAGTAGAATTTCATTTGTCTAAGCATAAAAGTGAATTATTTTATCTACTGGTTGAGATGTTCACATTGACTTATAACTAGGTAAGATGAGATAGACATTTTATTTTATATGGGAAGAAAAGGACGAATAATGCAGACACAAAGAATTGAAAATGATAGTAAGAAATGTAGAAATTGAAATTAATCTTCGCATTAATATATATTTTAGAAAAACAACGAGAATCAAGTCGTTTAGATTAAAAATACGATTGGAACATTGTTTCTTCCATTTTTGAAATTCGGAGAAAATAGTGATTAATAAACCAAATATAAACCTAAACCTCCAACGATTAGAGATAGGCTGTTGATATTCATTTTCACTAATAATACCATTTAAATCGTAATGTATATTTATAGAGTGTGATTTATTATAATGATACCTGTGTTATTAGTTTATTTGGTATTTTATTGAGTTTTTCTTTCCTCCTCCATATCACTTCCGTATCAAAAAGATACGGAAAAAAGAATGAGAATCTATTTTTTATGCTCTATCAATTGGATCAATATCTTTTGGATGCGAGTGTGAATGCTCAGTGTTTTCAGTATTGCTACTGACATCGCATATTTTATTATAGTAATAATTTATGAGTTTTTGCATGAATAGAAAAAAATTATGTTTGTGTTTGTGCTTCTTCACTTAGTCTAATTTGTTGTTCTTCAGCATCTATTTTGTTCTGGAAATAGATACTTAAAGCATTCAAAATTTTGTTTGCATCTTCCTTGACTATATTTGAAACTGAACCTTCTTTTTCATAAAGTTCCTTGTATACTTTATGTGTGTGTGTCCGACCAAATAATAATAATTGTAGATCAAGTTCATCGTGTAAGAAAGGTTCCTTAATTTTGTTTCGAAAGCAATCTGTCCGGTCAGTCCAATAGTCTTGATCTTCGATTGATGAACAAAAAATATTGATTTTTTGTAGTTGTGGTATATTTTCGAAATATGAGTTTATAATCAACCAGTCCATATTGTCCTCATAAGTAAATAATGTAATATTTTTTTGATCGTTACGGTCAATGTGTTGTTCGCAGTCGCTTGTATTTTCAAAAGGATGAAGGAATCGCATAAGTTTAGCATTAGGTAAGGAAATGGCAAGATGAGTGCCTGTCATATCGTAAAGTATGAGAGACAAAACTGTAGCCAACGGATATATAAGCTGATCAAATACAATGTCACTAAGAAATGGCATCTAAAAATAAACTATAATTCTATAAAGTAATAAATCTAGTCAAGAAATCAAAGATGTGTTAGTTATTTTACTTAGTGAAACATGTTTAAACAGAAAAAAAGAAAGTGGCTTATTTTGATTGTTTAAAATTCCAAGCCTTTTTTACAAAGTTTGTGTGCTTTAGTAAACATCTCTTTAGCTGTTGTTGCATCTTTTTTGGTACTATAATCAGTACCTAATTTGTTGTAATGAGTAATAAGGTCATGTGTTAAATGTAAGCAAAGTTCAGGATAATTATCAATAGTTGTTTCATTTTTCGATGATGATTGCCCATAACGACAGACGATTTTAATATTCGAACGCTTGTGAAAATCAGCTACGACTAAATCGTCATAATCAGCATCAATAATCAGAAATATATGAACAAAAGTTTCATATTCGTGTAAACATTCACGAAAATCAGATAGATTGGCAAACACTGAGAATGAAGAAACAATTTCATCGAATAGATTTATTAATCTTTTCATTTCAACGTCATCTTCTAATTTCGATTTCAACCAAATAACTCTTGTTAGTGTAGAAGTCGATGTATTGATGGTAGTATCACGACGAAAAAATCTTTGATGTGTCTTTTTCAATTCACTATGAATTCGATTGACTTCTTCTTTTTTTCGATTTGCACTTGACATATCACCAGATTCAGAATATGCCTTTGCTTCTTTGTTATAACAGCGATATATCGCATCAGCCAATAGAAAAATGAGATCTTTACCAGTAGCAAATCGTTCTTGATTATCAACTCTACTCTTATCTTCTTCCAGAATAAAAACTTTTTCAACTTGGTCAGGTTTACTTTTCATAGTAGCGACAAATTTGCTACTAACAAAAAGAATGGTGGTTTTCTTTGGCAGTTTATCAAAATCAAAGTCTGAATCATTTTCAAAATTGAGTATTGAATCTTTCGCCAACGAACACATTGTTTCTAACATAGCGGAAGCCAATTCATTTAAATGTGTTGAAAGATCGATAAGGACAAATTGAGTAGAAGTAGTAGCTAAAAGAAAACATATTATATCTTTATGGTCTGAATATGATTCTATCAATCCTTCATTGATTAAAATAAAACTTTGGTTAACTGAAATAGTTAAGGAATGATTCGAATAAGAAAAAAGTCGAATTTTACTTACGTAAGTTAATTATACTATCTTTTCGAGATATACGAGTCATTATACTTATAAAATAATTTCTTCTTGACCAAAAGTGTATAAATATGGACATAATACTAATGAGAGCAATTGTAATAAATATTTGACTCAATGTTCTTTTTGCAACTGTCTCTGTTCGAGCATCAAATAAACTTGTTGTCGAACAATTACATCGTCCAAACCATTTTGCTGATATTCGATCAATTTC